AGAGAGAGAGAGAGAGAGAGAGAGAGAGAGAGAGAGATCCGACAGACAGATAGACTGACAGATGGAGAGAGAGGGGGGTGGGATGGAGAGAGAGAAAGAGGGAGGGTGGGGTAGAGAGAGAAAGAGATCAGGCAGACAGATCGACAGACAGACTGAAGGAGCGACAGTCACTCCATACGACATGGATCTCCGAAATCCGGACAATATTTGTTTCGTAAAGTGGCCTATTCTACTGATGGCGTTGCTTTTGCACGCTCATTTACGCTGGAGATCAATTTTATTTCTTCGTTGCTACCTGACAACACAGATTGGAACTGCCCCCGAATTTCTTGCATCCCCTTCTCTATCTGATCTGAGGGGCAAAGCAACAGGTTTGATACGAAATCAGCTTTAAATAGATGTGCAATTTTCATAGCTGTATCCTTGATATTTTGTTTTCCCGTGCGTTCAAATTGTATGTCTATTTGTGAACTGAGCTCATATAGATCTAGAGAGTCTAGCGGCTGTAACTGTAAACCTAGCATACATCCATGATATAGCCTAATAAAAAGTTTCTTGTTTTCAATTTTTACTAGAATCTAGATATTCTAGATCTAGATCTAGATCTAGATCTAGAATCTAGTCTAGATCTAGATCTAAATCTGCTTGCTGTGTGTAAACTTTAGCAAATTTCATTCCAATTGTTTATGTTATTCATAATTTATTGATTTAAATACACTATAAGAAAAAGTTATTTACTGGATATACGTTTGGTATTTTTCAGATATGGGGGACAGACCACAGTCTGCCGGCGAGACAAAATCTTCTGGGAAGAAATCTGCTGTTGATTCCAAGAGCAAAGGTGAAAAGTCTGGGAAAAAATCTAAGAAGGCAACCAAATTGACCTCTCAACTGTACACCCAAGGCAACAAAGTAAGGATTGAGACAATAAGACATTTTGAGTCTGTCAGTTAATTACAGTCGAACCTGTGTAAGACGGCCACTCATTGTCAAGGAGAAGAGTGGCCATATAAGACAGGTGGCCGTCTTTGGCATCAAGATGAAGAAAACAAACCATTCCTTTCTGAGAAAACAAACTCTTCGATCCTTTCTGAGGTCCCAACCGAAGGTAGTTGCATTGTTGTTGTTGTTTTCGCTGGGTTTTCTTTTCTTTTGTTGCTGCTTTTGTGCGCGGGTAGCAATAAAATGAAATGTGTCAGACAAGGAGGACCAAGTGCTATATGGTATAACAAACACACGTACCTACTCGAAGAACAAGCAACGCTTCTGTCTCAAGTTCATGCTGACGTCCATTGTTACTTTGTTACAGACTGGGTAAACAGTGACCACTCATCTCACTTGCGATTTGTGTGTGGATTCTGGGCGGGGCTTATGGGTTATGAGGGATCACACGCTTCCCTCCCCAGCAGCTGAAAATTAATGTTGTTGCCTATTAGTCAACAGTGGGAGGGGCCTACGCAACATGATCAGTTGGAGGGACTACCTAACAACGACAGGGATTTCGGTTATGATGGCTCGCCCACAACGCCTGGGGCCAATGCTTGATTTATGACAAAATGTAATGGAGTCACTAAGGTGGCTGTCTAAGACAGGTGTTATTGCTTTGTGTGATAGGGGTTGTGTGTTGAAATATGGTGGCCGCGGCCGCGTTGGACAGGTGTCCGTTTTACACAGTCAAATTGTATAGAAAAAACGCAAGGGGGAAAATGGAAAGTGGCAGTTTGTGCAGGTGGCCGTCTTACAGAGGCGGCCGTCAGTGCAGGTTCGACTGTATTTTCTGTTTTATGGTTGCTTATATGTTGATTTTGTTATTTCTAAGAGTATACAGACCCGGTAAACGGGAATAAAGTCACGAAGTATACAGGGTGAAATCTTTTGTGATTTCGGAAAGTTTCAGCGCCCAGACCTAGTAGAGAGAGAGAGAATGAGAGAGAGAGAGAGAGAGAGAGAGAGA